TAAAAAACACGCCCCTTTATTTTATCCGATCAGAAGTATTTACCAAAACTAATTGTGACTCACTCGCACTTGTTTTACCATGCTTTACGTCAGCTTCATGAAATTACTTCAAGTTTTGATTGGTTCACCCTTTATTGTCTGTGTCCTTTGTGATCGGCTAGTCTAAGAGTAGTTTTACAAGAGTCACTTTAAAACTGCCCTGAAGAAATATATTAAATAAATATTTTTACTGTTAGATTCCTGAGTTAATTAGACTTCTGATTCTGTTTTTACAGCTTACAGACTGAATAGGGTTAACACAGAATGGATGGTAACAACAAAGCCCTACGCTTCACCATTGAAATCTTCAGTGCCCAATTTGTGACTGCAGGACGTTATTTCCTTATACTGCGAATCATAGGAAGCAAAGTTAATCGCTCAAAGTTGAAACTTTTTGTGGGTAATTCAAAATTACCTTTGGAAGATCATGAGTTTACCACAGATGCCTGTTTAGAGGATGGTGATCCTGAAACCTTTGCATCTTTCACAGATTCAGTAATCTCATTTTGGATGCCTCCAGGTACATTTTTTGAAGTTCAGAAACATAATTTTATGTGGGCTGCAATAAGATGAGCCCTTTGATGTTACGGGTAAACTTACATGCACTTGATGTACCTGAAGAACATGTTACAGAATGGGTATTAAATAAATACATGTGGTAGTAAATACTGAAATTAATAATAATTTTGTGCTTAATTAAAGACCACTCACTGGTACTTTATGCTGTTTTAATGCCAGAGAGTGCTGATGGAGACATTCAACTTGTGGTGGAAGCATTTCGACTTCCAGAGAATCCCATGCATGAAGGAGACAAGTATGGAGAGGCTGTGTTTAATGTATTTCCAAGAAGGGGTGCTATTTTCTCTGCAGTGGAACGGACAACACCACCACCTGAAGATTCCAGTGAGCTGTATCAGTTTGAGACCAATATTACTTTAAGTCAAGTACAGGAAGGTGAAGGATTTTGGATCAACTCTGGTGTCATAAGAACTTCTTTGAAACTTAAATATGAAGAACCTGAGCAAACAAGTAAGTCTTTATTTTGTTCAAAGGGAGAGAAGTTTTGTTGCAGACTATGACAATAGCTGAAGTAGAAATAGATTGCTGGACATATCATTAAAAGATGATATATATAATTTCTCATGCAGTTTATTATATTGTAAGGTGGACAATACATTTGTATATTTTCAGCCTACAGGTGATAGTGTAGTACTTAGCTTGCTCGTAAATATTGTTGTCGAACTGTTAGTGGAGTTGCTAACCCTACCCCACCCTGCTAGGACACCATATCAGCCCACCTAACCCTAACTCCAATCCTAATCCTCGCCCACTCCAGATCTTTTTTATTCTCGCCTGGATTTCAACACCTGATCACTGGCTCTGTATTCCAGCTTCATCTCCACTAGGCTAGGCAAGCAATCACTAAAAATCTTTCTCAAATTTGTTGGTCTTATAAGTTATTGGTTCCAGACTCACCCTTCCCCTTTGGCACAAATTCACCGAGGTTGAAATTGTTTTGACCTAAAATACATTTTCAACTACATGCACAACATATCCATGGCTGCAAACTACTGTTAAATTCAAAAACATTTACTTCAAAACTGTATACCCAGCACAAAAAATTCTGGAAAATTAGGGTACAGTTTTTCAGCTCCTGTATGTACGACCTCTGTGGCTCCACGTACATGCAGTAGAGTAGAAGTTGCAGTACTGTATGAAGTAGAGTAGACCACATTATTAGATCTCTTAGAGTAGAGTAGAGTACATTAGTAGATCGCATAGAGTAGAGCAGAACAGAGCAGCGCAGCGCAGAGCAGAGCAGAGTAGAGAAGATTAGGAGTAGAGTAGAGTAGAAAAGTGCGTCACAGTACAGTACTTACAGGGCTACATGGAGGCAGTAGAGGCTGTAGAGGCAAAGAAACTCTATGCTAATTTTCCAGAATTTTTTGGGACAAATTTAGAAAACTGAGGATATTTGTTGTTGTGGTGCATGTTAATAAACAATTATTGGATGAGGTTTTTCTGATATCCAGAATAATCAAGGTCGAGGTAGGGGTTATCAGCAGAAGCCGAAGGCTGAAGCTGATAACCCTTACCAAGACCTTGACTATTCTCGATATCACAAGAACCGAATCTACTAATTGTTTTATTATACATTGAATGAAAGAAAAACTGGAATCATGTTTTTGCTTCTTCACTGATGGCAAGCAACACAAAGCGCTCAAATTTGACTTGATTACCCTGAGAAAACATGCACCGTGGTCATACATGACATGATTACCTGTGACCTTGAGTGTCCTTGAGTGTCCTTGACATGATTATTGTATAATCTGCAGCTAGATTTACGTCAGAGGTCCTGATTTCGAAAATTAACTGTATGCTTTTGGCCAATCAGAAAAGAGATAGTGAGCTCAGTGTGTAATAATATTTATTAAGGGCAAATTCTTGCCATTTCACATCAGCTAAACAGCAAGTTAAGCACCTAGGCAATGATGCATTTTCAGGCAGAAATTCACTGAGCAGGAAGCAAATAAAGGCAGGAAGTTTAGCCAACTTAATTCCAAGTAGCGAGTTTGAGGTGTCTGAAACGAGAGAGGCTATACCAATTTGTGAGTACTTGTTCAAAAATTGCAAATAGTAATAATGCAGTGCCAAATTAAAAATGATGTTTATAGCAGACATTTCAGGCCTAGCCCTTCCTCAGAGCTAAGTGAGTACCGGTACTTGTGTCCATTTAAAAAATATCACTTGCACCTAGCAGGCAATATCACAGACTACTTTTTTTTAAAGGTATGAAAATTATTGTTGACATATACAGTGATATACCCAATAATGGTCTTATTTTAATATTAATATCTATTACTATTTTATTTATTATTAGTTTAAATAGCATTTGTCATGCCAAGTAAAGATGCTTTGACATGCAAAATTCCACTTTGACCTACATATATACAAAGAGTTTTTCTGAAAGGTTGCTACTTGCAAAAAAAATCATACGTGGAACTGAGCAGCATCAGTTTACCAAGACACTTTGTAGGTCCCTATAGGGCTACATGTATGGCTACTCACAAGTCAAGAGTAATAAATTAAAACAGTTGAATTTCAATGCATAATGCAATTCTGTGTTAAGTCCCCTACATGTATGAATCTGTAATAAATTTTTTGGTTGTCACAAAATGCCCATCCCTATTGCATTCATCATGACAGCCCAGATACCACTCTCTTTATTGAGCTCTTATTTTTACGTACATTGTGTATACAAGAGATTGTTTTCATGTAAGTTGCCTTTGATGCATGTCTGTTTTACCCAGTAAATTCTTTATGATTAAAAATTTAGTGATAGGCTGTATGCAGTATTCACTTCTGTGTTGATGACTTCAGCAGGTGAATTTAGGAGAGATAGCGAGTGCCAGTTCAGTGATGAGACAGGAAAAGATGATTCAGGTAGTGATTCTTTACTCATGACACAGCATGCAGCAGGAAGCTTAGCCAACTTTTTTCACATTCAGGAGTCTACAGAAAATAGAACTAACACTATTCAGGGGTTTCAGAACCTAATCAAAACAAAGGCAGGTGGAAAAGATTAGATGAGGAATGAATGTTGACAATAATTCTACATATATTGTAAGTGCAAGGTTGCAGAACGATGTGGTTAGGTGTTGATATGTGTTCTGTTTTATGGCATCATAAAACAATCGTAAGAACTTCAATTTAGGGAAGTTGGAGTCAACAAATGGCCAACTGAGTGATGTATATACCATTGTTTTTGATCTCTTATGAATTTGTGAATGTACATGTAAGCTTTTATTTGCATCTTTTAGGCCCTGACTCCTTCGACCTTGTTCCCAAGGTTCTGGGAATGCAGCTTGACTCCTTTATAGTTGAGAAACAAGAAAAGGCAGGAAGTTTAGCAAACTTGTGTCCAAGTAGCTACATGTATAGAGAGTTTGTAGATGAAGTTAAGAACAAAGAGAAGAGAAAGAGAGTAGAAGAAGATGTTGAAAGTGGGGAGGTCATTTCAGTATGTGAGTCTGAAGAATGGGAAAAACTTGTATCATGCTGTCTTGCCAATTGCAGTGCTTGTTCATCCATTCAGAGTCTGGCCCATGTCCTTGTACTCTTAAACTATTAATAATACTATTAATTGAATTACTTAAAATGTAGGGCTTCATTTTACCTAGTTATCTGCAAATTGCCATGACATGCAAGCACATTCAGAGGATGCAGGGAGGTAACCTGTACTGTGATGGGCTGGCATCCCATCTGGGACCCTGGAGTAGGAGGAATAGTCTAATCACTTAATGCTGCAAAATCAAATATGTTAAGAACTGTTTGCACCACCCTATTTCTGTTTGAAAATGATCTGGATTGGGATTTACGGATTTTACAGTGTTAAAATGAATATTTCCTGTGAAAGCTACATGTAATGTTAACTTGTGTTGTAGGGGTCAGTCCAGACCAGTGTGAAAGAGACTCTGCTGATATATTACAACACACAGGCATCTTAGTTGATAGTTCACACAGTCAGCTATCTAGGACAGATGTAGACAGAGAGAAACATTCAGATGAGATATTGAACATTACTGAAGAAGGGAGAGTTGAACAGGAAGTGAAGGAAAAGGGTGAAAGTGTGCTGCTGAAGGCTTACCATATTGACAAAAGTCCAATAGGCCCTTTGAAAGAGAGTTACGACTCTTTGACAGGACAGGACCCACAGAACATAGGCCATGGAATTGCAGAGGACAGTTCTGTTTTTAAGAAGAAAAGAGAAAGAGATACGATACATGGTAATGAAACAGAGAAGGCAGTATTTGCATTTTGCTCTTTGAGGCAGGGAGATTAATATACGTGATAGAAGACTTTTATTTTACTTCATGATTCTTTTTACAATATCTTGTTATGCACATGTAAATAATTAATTTGCAAAGCAGACATGTGATAAGAATAAAAACTCATCTACTACATGTTGACAATTTTGTCTAGATACATGTAGAACCATACTCTCATAATTGCAGCCATAATTAAAACCTCAGGGGGTCAACTAAGATTTTGAGCAGGAAGATAAGTAGCTTGGGCACCTTGGTAAGATAGCAACTTATAAACAGTGTTCTCACTAATGGAACTCAATTATAACTGTTACTGATGAGAATTTAGCAATAGAATTTGGAAAAAAGGTCAAAAAGCTATCGCATTTAGGTTATATGCTATAATTGAACAAAACCCTCATTGATTATGTTAATTTGTTTTCTGACTTGACATGAAAAGTTTACTCATTGTCTGAAATTGAGAATGTTAATTATTTTGTTGCCAGAACCTGTCAAAAAGCCACAGCCTCTTCCAGTTCCCAGGGAACCTCAGCCAGGTCCCTCAACTGCACCAGATACTCCTATTGGAATTAAAACAGTGAGTTCAATTGTCTCAGTCTGTGATGACAAATCCTTTTGGTTTGTTTTAAAATATGAGCACCATCTCTTCTAAATTCTGTGCCCTCAAGTACCTCTGTTGACAACTTCTAACTAAAGGTAACCCTATTCTTGGCTTCATTTCTGGATTCAGCTGATTTTAGCCATCAAATCCTTGGCCTTCTTTTTCTTGTATCATAAAAGTCTGTAATTGTGATTGCATATTGTTAGGTATTCTCATGCCTGGACTCTATATCTGCACTTCTTCTTACCCAATCCAATAGGCCATTTTCAAATTACCATTAGCCTCTCTCTCAAAGATAGTCTTGGTGCCCATCCTTTCATATGAAAATGAGATTTCATTCACATGCAAATTAAACTCATTTTCATATGAATGGTTGTGAACCAGGCCTCGCTTTGATAGAGAGGTTTAGGGCAACTCAGAAATGGGCTATTGTAACTGCAACATTATGATATGTGTATATCCTTCTAAAGATCATGCATCCTGGCTCTCATTGCTAATTTTCATGGCCATTGTGTCAGTAGGTTGATTCAGAAGCAAGACAACTGATTCTATTGTATGTTATCAGATCCAGGAGGCAGCCCTTGGTTCACATGTAAACAGTATACCTGTGCATCATTTGTGTGGGAGCTACACAGCTAGGGAAGGCTATTGTGAAGTGGTTGTTCTAGCTCATGGAGCCCTAGGACTGCCATTTAAATCAGATGGAAGACCTCCTCAGCCATACATTGTAGGGTGAGTATGTAATAATTATGAATAAAGATGATTTTCTCCGGAGGAAACTGGCTTGTGCCAATTAGGGATCATTAGTGATCAAATCGATTTGGGGAGGGGTGGTGGCCTTATTGTTAGTGCAGGTCGAGCAGTCTGGGTTTGAGCCCTGGCTGGTGCCATTGTGTTCTGTTCTTGGGCGAAACACTTTACACTCACAGTGCCTCTCTCTACCCAGGGGTAAAAATGGGTATAAATAATATATACCACCCCTCCCCCCCTCTTAGCTCAAGGTCTGGATCTGCCACTGAGAATATACAGTATTCAGGTGACATTCTGTTTGGATTAATTATGCTTACAAATAAATGGATGTCAGTAATGGCATGCAGTATGCTTGTAAATTGCATTTATGACATTGCCTGATTTGCAGGAAGTCTGGAAAAGCTGAAGCTCAGATGCAAATGGGACAGTCTGTTACCCATGCTGCTATTCAGCCAACACATTCACCATCTTGGGAGGAGCTGCTTTTGGTTGAGGTCAAGGAGGAAGAATCTAAAGATGAAGGTTTGTCATCTGAGACAGAGTAGCACAGATGTAACAATATGATGTTTTCCTTCAACATGTTCCAACCCAAATTTAAATTAGAAGTACAGGATAATTTTTGTAGTGTACNCTCAGAATAGTATTTATGTAGCAATTTTGGGGTGATAATTTGGAGTTGTTTCTGCATTTGGCAGCCCAACCCAGAGCTTAGTGGTGACATCAGACTGTACATCACCTTGATGAAGAAGTTGGACAAGCTGCCACTTTCCTCAGTTGGTTCAAAGATGTATGGCCTGGAGGTATTCTCTCTCTTTGTAGCATTTGTAATTTAATAGTTTGTCAGCTTTGAGAAAGATGTAAATGGTTTGAAGGGGTTGCAAATGGTAAACTCAAGACATGTGTCAATTATGCATGACTAATATCTTTCCTGGAACCCCAAGACTTTCTTGGGGACCCCAAAATTTGACCAATCATTTTTGCCACCCCTGTTGGCATATTAAGTCAGATAACTTTAACACTGCCTTGCTGTGCAAGATTGTAGCTTATATTTCAGGATGGCAAAATAAACAGAAACCACTTGCTGCAATGTACTCAGAAGGTCCAAACCAATCCTTTACCTTTACCAGTTTTCCTTAAATTAAATTAAACTAAATCATCTTGTATCACTAGCCATCATTCAACCGTCCACTTTCTAATAGAATTATGAAATGTCATATGCTGTTTTGTATCTCTGCTAGGTTTTGCTTTGTGGCCTGGATGCTCCAGTCAGTAGCCAAATGGGTCCACTAGTTGCAACTGGAAGAATTGTATCCAACTGGACAGAATACAAGTAAGATAATAGAAGCAATTATTATATTGTAGTTGTCTCAAAACTGTCTGAAGAAATCATTAGAAATAAAATTTCAGTGGACAAGTTGCAATTCATTGCTTTTCAGTTCTACCTGTTACAATTACAGTTTCTTTTCAGTGACCTTTTGTCATTCAAATAAAAGCAGTTTAATGTAGTTTCTGTCAATTCTCATTTGCGAAACAAGAAATCGAAATCTCCTTTCTTGTTCAATGCCAAAACATTGTTAAGGATCAACTGGGGGGATATTGTCTAACTGAACCACCAGAGGTTCAGAAATGTTCTTAGCATCCTTCAGGATCAAGTAAACTACGGTAATGTTTTCACTAAACACTTTGTAACATCATTTTAAAATTGTTAAGGTTCTTGTCAGCCTGGGTAGTAGTATTCCCTAATCACTAACTGAATGGGTTACTTAGCTACTAATTTTTGTTGTTTCGTTGTTATCACTAGCGAAACCATGCTATCTGCTCAGCCACGATCAGCCGGGGTAACAGTAACTACCATTCACTTCCCGTCACCACACCCAACTTCGTTTGCCGTAGCAGGGGCGACACATGTGTATGGAGCTCCTCAGGTGACCACAGCTGGTGATCCTCAAGAACAGCCTCAGTGGAATCAGACTATGTTCTTTCTTGGTGATGAGTCCAGTCTGTTTACTGCCACATCAGCTTTGGTTGTGGAATATTATCCATCTTCACTAGGTGAGACAGTACTAGTAAAAATGGAAGACGTGAGTCACTTCTCAAACAACCCAACTTGATCCTTGATCCACAAATCTCAAAATCTTTGAGAACAGATTTGAGTCTTTTGAGTTTTGTGTCAAGAAAGCAAAGACACAAAGAACTTAATTTTATCTATTGTTTGTCTAATTGTTTCTCTTGTTCATTGCTATTGTCATGTACTTGAGAAATGAATTGTTTCCTGAAAGAAGTCTTTGAGTGCCTCGAAACTGAAAACTCAAATCTTGAAGCTCAAAACTTGAGCCTTGATTCTCAAAAGCATTGAGGATTAGGATCGAGTTTTGTGTGGAGACTGTCAACTTAACATTTGACTTGTACACTGTAATTAACAATAATAATTTGTTAATATTAATTGTTAGATGAGGTTATTAAAGTATGATCGGAATGCTCATACTACAGAAACTGTAGTTTTATTGTCACTAGTAGCACTATGCTACTTTACCTCTTCCTACTAACACAAGTGGTTTTATTCAAACCCTAGCCATGACAAGAGATTGCTGGCAACTATCAAGCCCTGTTGGTTACTCTTATCAAACAATGGATCAACTATTACTCTCGAGCTTAAAGTGGGACAGTGGGAGGCTGGGTCTCAGGGTGGACAATCTACCTTTTGAGGTAAGCTACAGTAATTATTTTGATAAGGGAAACAGTCAAAACTATTGTGTTGTTTCTAGAGTAATGAAAGCTGAACTTAAAGGATATCTTAAATGTCAGATCAATAGGCTAATCTGTTGGGGGATCTCTTGGGTAATCCACCTCTAAGCTTTCTTGGTTGTGCTTGTTTGCATTGGTTGTGACCAGTTTCTTTATTGTAACCTTGGCTAGGCTGGCTGACTTTACTACTATTTTTCACCTTGTTGACACATTAAGAGACTGCACACTGCTGTTCCCTTATTTGAGACCAGTCATGCAGGCTAGTTCCCACCCAGCATTTTTGTCTAATTACATGTGATGTTGTAAGGTGATGAAGGCAGCAAATAGAACCAACTGCTAACCCCTAGAAAATCAAAAGTACTAATCGAGATCTTGACATTTCATTTGTTAAGAATCTAATACCTCAGAAGCTGTGTAACCATTGAAGTCAGATGATATTTTATACCCACAAAAACAGTCTGATATCATGCTATTACAACCACATACAGCTAGTAATTATTATTGTTCACGAACAAATGACACAGTAGTCCCACCAACTTGAGCAATATTTTTATCAGCACGACTTTTTGGTGGTATATAGATGTGATGGGATGATGTGCTCTCAGTAATGCCTGTATGTGTTTCAGGGTTCCAATCTAAGAACAGCTGTAGGCACTGGTCCCACTGTTGGAATGGTACTCAGACTTGTCACCAGTGAGGTATGAAGGGCAACTGCCCTATCTTTACTTAGGTGTCGTAAGCGTCAGAAATTCCAGATACAGTCCAACCCTCGGTTGCGACCACCTCTTGTAAGCGACCACTTCTCCTCAGCGACCAGTTTTCCAAAATACCAAAATTTACAAAGTCAAATCTCTATATTTTGAACCTCTTGTAAGCGACTACATTTTGTACCTCTCATAAGCGACCGTGACCACTTTTAGAGCTAAAAGTTTGGAATTTTAACCTCCCGTAAATGACCACACAACAAATAATAGAGCGGAAATTGGATTTAATGGTGTTGTAACATTATCGCATTTCTGGGTAGTACAAGAGACGGAAATTTCTCAACGGGAAGTGGCAGATGTTTTCTGGAAATTGACTTTTCACATGAATAAAACATTTAAAGCATGAGGTAAATCTCTGCAGTTACTATATGTTAATGAGGCAAAAGTTTGACCCAATATGGTCTAAGCTCTCGTAGGAGACCACCTCCCATTTAAGCGACCACCTAGACTTGACATTTTGTGTGGTTGCTGACCGGAGGTTCGACTGTAGTAATGTTGGTGAAGTGCTGGAGCACTTCTTGTAAGTAGTACGTTGTTTTCTATGTTAGGATTAAAAGGTAAAAACCTTCAATTAGCTCATGGTTAGTGTGTTGGGGTCCTGTTCTGACCGATCGTCTTGTGTCATGTTAACCAGTGGAACTGCTAGATGTAACTCTTCTCCGCTCCCTGGTCTTGTTCAGTAAAAGCAGACGCATTTACTAGCAAAGTATCATTGCTTTACAGATTTTTTTTTTTTAAGTTTACTCTCGCGGAATTTGTAGACCTTATGGTTATTTAGGGCAACCAGTACTCTTTTTTTAACTTATTTATGTAGTTATTGTTGAGTAGAAATAAAGTTGTTGTTGCTGTTTTTACAGAGACCTGACCAGCTGTTATCTGCTGCCCACTTGTCATCATTACCAGTATTTAGAGCAGCACCTCAGACATCGCAGTTAGGACAGCCCTTATCTACTCAGAAGCCGGAGCCAGCAGAACAGGTTACTTCATTTTGGTGCCTCCAGACAATGTCATTTTTGGTCAGAATTTATGTAGAATTTGGTGTTTGAGAAGTAACTGCCATAACCAGGTTACCTGTTCTAGTTCTCACTACTTGCAGAAATTAACAATAACGATATACATCAAGTGGTATAGATTCTGTAGACCTGATGCCTCTGTAACGGCTTCTTTTAATTTTTAATCTTTAGGTACCTTATGGCCTTCCTCCAATGAATGCTGTTAAGACTATTCTGCCGCAGTTTCACTCTTTGTATAATGCACCGAATACAGAACCCGTCAAGGAATATGTCCCTCTTGCGAATGTGTTAACCCCACCAGAAAGAGGGTGAGCGTTAAATGATCACTGTCTTATATGGAAGAATAGGTCGCCGATTAGTAGGCCTGATGGCTAGCTAGACAATGTCAGCAATAACGTTTGTGATTGCTAGCCTTATTGCTTGCTTCCCTGCTCTCTCTTGGATTTATTGATTGATTGATTGACAAGGTCTCGATCGTAGCTTATTTAACAAATCGAATATGGTTTAGCGTAGTCTGCAGTAGTACTCTTATCGACAACGATACGCGTCATCACAGTGGTCAAAATGTTGTGGACTCACGAGCTTTTTTCAGAGCGCGAGCTGAAAAAGGCATTGCGTGACACATTGACGCCAGCAGCGTTGTCTGGATTCTTATCGACAATAGCCAATCAGATTGTGAGATTAGTAGCAATTGTTGTAAAAATGCCAATTTCCTGGCAATTGTAAGCTAACAACATCTGGCAGTTGTACGATGCTGTTTCGCGAGCTCGAAAAACAAGTTAGCCGAGAGTCAAGTCATCCCTGTCCTTATTCCAGCTGGCTCTGGGAAGATCTCAGGCCTAGCTGACACTAGCTGGTTGTACAGCTTCCTACATACAGCTAAGGAATTTATTAAATGTTACGTATCAAGAAACATACANTGGTAGGAAACCTGAAAATAACAGTTTAATAAGATAGAAAAACACCAAAGAGATAATGATAAACCATAAAGGAACAAGGATGGCTAAGGATGGAGTAGATTGACATGGATTACAGACGACGAATATGAAAAATTGAGGCTAAACGTTTCCATATGCGCAAACCGTGACTGAACTCCTTTAATGCACTAAGCTTTTTATGGGATTTACAGGAAGTGGATCGCTACAGAACGGCAATGAGAAAGATGGCGACGGATCTTCTTCATGTGCGAGAAGATTGCAAGCGATTGGAGGTAAAAAGTTACAATTCGTCAAGTAATAATCATCAAGATGAAATCAATGCCTTGGAACAAAGAGAGGGTGGGTGAAACCAGGGTTATCGTGTGAACTCACGTTTCCGAAAGTGACATTCAAGGTATTGCCGTAGAATAGATTGATTGGAAATGTGAATTATATAGTGTGCCCTTTTATCTACATGTAATTTTGAGCATATTTACCAGGAATAAACACGAGAATCACTATGCAAGCTCTTGTTGTTACGGTTCCTGTTATTGTGTGTGTGTTTGTTAATTTAGTGCCGTATCATTTTCAGGTGTTTATGCTGAACAAAAGTTAGTTCCCAGTCCTAAATTAGCCTGCGAACAGCCTACCGGCGAGGACGGAAAAAAAATTCTGCGAGCGCGAAACAGAAGAATGAGCGAATCGATCGGGGCGGGACAGGGGAGCCTCCCTCGCTTCGTTCGGGCTCACCGGGAGCCTGTTCGCAGGCTATCCTAAATAAGCGCCCCGCTCCATTTCGTTACCAAAAGTAAATTAGTACCTGGGTAGCTATATTGAATCATGCCGCTGATATTTCCAGCAGGATTCCGGAAAGCATTAGTTTTTCCTGTTAGTTGAAGGCAAAAGCTCTAGAGCTGATATGATTTACGTTGAACGTTGTTTGCAAGCTTCTCCCTCAGGTACCATGTCCCTTTATCCCTCTTTTTGAAATAATCTNAGGAAGTGGATCGCTACAGAACGGCAATGAGAAAGATGGCGACGGATCTCCTTCATGTGCGAGAGGATTGCAAGCGATTGGAGGTAAAAAGTTAGAATTCGTCAAGTAATAATCATCAAGATGAAACCAATGCCTTTGAACAAAGAGAGGGTGGGTGAAACCAGGGTTATCGTGTGAACTCACGTTTCCAAAACATCCCAACTCTTTCGGTTGAAAATTCGCTGTTGAAGGAGGAAAGATTCCGGGACTGTTTCTTTCTACAGAGTGGGCCTCAACTTTCCTGGTACACTTTTAGTGTCTACTAATTTTTATATCGCTAATATTTAACTTACCCGAATGAATGGTTTAGTCCCCACCTTCCAGTAAGCAGCTGCACTGATCTCCTTTCTAATAAGCATCCCCCGTTGAGCATTGTTTCTTTCAATAAGCAACCCTATTCGGATCAGCGCCTCCATTACGAAAGTGACATTCAAGGTATTGCCGCAGAATAGACTGATTAGACGTGTGAATTATATAGTGTGCTCTCTTATCTAAATGTAATTTTGAGCATATTGACCAGGAATAGACACGAGAATCACTATGCAAGCTCTTGTTGTTACAGTTCTTGTTATTGTGTGTGTTTTTGTTAATTTAGTGCCGTAGCATTGTCAGATGTTTATGCTGAACAAAAGTTAGTTCCCCTTCCTACATAAGCCTGCGAACAGCCTACCGGCGAGGACGGAAAAAAGATCATTGAGCGCGAAACAGAAGAATGAGCGAAGCGATCGGGGCGGGACAGGGGAGCCTCCCTCGCTTCGTTCGGGCTCACCGGGAGCCTGTCCGCAGGCTATCCTAAATAAGGGCCTCGCTCCATTTCGTTACCAAAAGTAAATTAGTACCTGGGGTGCTAAATCGAATCATGCCGGTTATAGCAGAATTCCTGAAAACATTAGTTTTTCCTGTTAGTGGAAGGCAAAAGCTCTAGAGCTGATATGATTTATGTAGACGTTGAACGTTGTTTGCAAGCTTCTCCCTCAGGTACCATGTCCCTTTATCCCTCTTTTTGAAATAATCTTTCTGAATAGGGACTTTGCAGATTATCTTAAAAACCAGTAGCTCTTCCTACTGTTGTGAAGCTTAAATTCCGTAGTTTGGCTGTCCTTTCTAAAACTACTTGCACCATCACCACTCATCCTTATTGTTAATTTTGTTAATATGCACTGTGGGATGTTCTTGATTCCCTCAGGATGCTAATAGCAGGTTAAGAAGAGAACTGGGCCAGCATGACGAGATATCCAGACTGATGGTCAGTTCAAAAGACTTGGACAATGTCACCCACTCTGAACTGGTGCAGAAGTTTGGTGAGAAAATTCTTATGAAGTCCAATAAGACAACAATAGTATGAAAAAAATTTAAAAAATGGTTTGACAAACGTTGTTTTTGTGTGATCCGTTTTCTGTAATTGAGCATTTTCATTCAGATTACGAAAACATCGTTTTCTGTATTGTATTACCGGTATATGTATTTCAAGTGCAACTGAAATTGTTGTGGAATGTGTTCTTAACTTTTGCATTAATGTTTTATTGAAAAAGCTGTTGTTAGCAATGGAACAATTGTAGTTGTTTTTTTTTACAAAGTGTAAAGAAGTCGACTTCATTTGGCCATATTTGGAAACTTTTATTCTGTGAAGAGACCGATTCCGCAAGTCGTAATGTGACTGTTTATTTCCTGTAATTTGCAGTACTCTTAAAAAAGAAGCTAGCAGATGAATCATCAAAGAAACAGGAACTACAGTCAAGACTTCAACGTCTACAGAACGACCTCATCAAGGTGACTTAATCTTACCTGTGGACATTTCATGTTTGTGTGACTGACGCAGCTTTTCTTTTAAACAATTAGATTATTCGCTCTCGATTTCTATGCGTGATAGAAATCTCGAGCTCATAATCTAATCGTTTGCAGCCCGAGTCAATTATCACGCATAGAAATCGAGAGCGAATAATATAATTGTTTTAGTATAAATCTACTAGTCGTTCTAAAGTTTATCTAAATCCTCTTCACAGACAGTTCGAAAATGCCAAGAAGCGTCCGTCATTTTGTTAACAAAGGTACACTGCCACGCTACTCACTTTCTATCACAGAATAGATAGTGAGTAGCGTAGCCAATCTGAAAACGGCATTCGTGACAGAACGCTAGTAGATTTATACTACTGAATAACAGACTGCTGTATGTTGACAAGTACATTGACCAGATTTTCTTATCAATAGAAAAATGAGATGGAAAAGGAGTTTTTGAAGCTACAAGAAGCTCACGAAGGCCAACAAGCGCTTTTACAAAAGTTACAGGTATGTAGCATGTCTTTAAAAGTAAATCTCAGCAATTGACCTGTTTTCGATAGATTATAGGAAATAGGTCTGTTCGANACCGGTATATGTATTTCAAGTGCAACTGAAATTGTTGTTGTATGTGTTCTTAACTTTTGCATTAATGTTTTATTAAAAAAGCTGTTGTTAGCAATGAAGCAATTGTACTTGTTTTTTTTTTACAAAGTTCAAGGAAGTTGACTTCATTTGGCCATATTTGGGAACTTTTATTCTGTGAAGAGACCGATTCTGCATGTCGTAATGTGCCTGTTTATTTCCTGTAATTTACAGTACTCTTAAAAAAGAAGCTAGCAGATGAATCATCAAAGAAACAAGAACTACAGTCAAGACTTCAACGTCTACAGAACGACCTCATCAAGGTGACTTAAACTTGCCTGTCGACATTTCATGTTTGTGTGACTGACGCAGCTTTTCCATTACACAATTAGATTATTCGCTCTCGATTTCTATGCGTGAATGTTGACTCGGGCTGCGCCCTCGTCAACTACCACGCGATAGAAATCTCGAGCTCATAATCTAATTGTTTGCAGCCCGAATCAACTATCACGCATAGAAATCTAGAGCGATTAATCTAGTTGTTTTAGTATAAATCTACTAGTCGTTCAAAACTTTAGCTAAATCGTCTTCACAGACAGTTCGAAAACGCCAAGAAGCGTCCGTCATTTTGTTAACAAAGGTACACTGCCACGCTACTCACTATCTATCACAGAATAGATAGTGAGTAGCGTAGCCAATCTGAAAACGGCATTCGTGACAGAACGTTAGTAGATTCATACTAAAAACATACAGTCAATACTGAATAAGACCGCTGCTTGTTGACAAGCACATTGACCAGATTTTCTTATCGATAGAAAAATGAGATGGAAAAGGAGTTTTTGAAGCTACAAGAAGCTCACGAAGGCCAACAAGCGCTTTTACAAAAGTTACAGGTATGTAGTATGTCTTATGTTTTATGTAAATCTCAGCAATTGACCTGTTTTCGATAGATTATAGGAAATAGGTCTGTTCGAGAAACTATTAGGGATAAATCTGCTTCCAACCAATCAGAAGCGAGTATTTACGGTAGCAGTATTAGTAATATTCTAACGTGATGCCAAGGCTTAGGGGATTGGAACAAAAGAAATGACATTGACACGAATAAATAATTTCTTTTGTTCTAGTTCCCTATTAATTTCAATTGAGCCTCGCTATTTCGAACGCTTATGGGGAACGGAAAACTAGTTCGAGATGGCAAGGGTTCGAGATAAGAGAGTCGAGATAGCGAGATTCAAATTTATCGCCGATATATTGGCATATTTCGTTCAATCTTTTGCACTGTTTAGCATTTCTATGCAACGTGGCACTTAAATGTCTATATAACGAAAAGCATGATTACTCCTCAAAATCGGATAATTTTTCATGTGATTTTATTTTGTTGTTTGCGTAGGGAAAACTACAGAAGGCAACGACAATTCAAGATACTTGCAAGAAACAAGAAAAGGTAACACGTTATTGCAAGTATTTCAGAGGATGTTGGTGTGACGTACAGCACTTTTTCTGAGTGGTTGAAAACCTGATGCTCTTTCAGTCTTTGTAAAACTTACTCACCTACCTTACTTGAATCTCTTCGTCCCCTGTGGGGCATAAGGCAACTACAGGCCCTCTCCATTTATCCGTATTTTGCGTGACATGTTGTTCCTCGTCTCGTATGAGTTTTACCTCACTGGGTTTAGCCGTGACAGTTTGGCGACTGGTCCTTTTTTTTTTTGGCCGACCAGGTTTCCTTTGTTTCATATATTCACTTGCACTCTTCACCATCTGTGGCGAATATTACGAACTCACAACATGATCAGCTCCCAGTTGGCTTGATAGCTCAGTTGGGAGAGCACTGCACCGGTATCGCAGAGATCATGGGTTCGTGATGCCTGAGGTTTTTTTTCAGGCTTTAATTTCTCAATTGCTTAAGTTGTGTACATAACTACGATGATATATAAATATACAACCTTTATTTACCCTCGACAATGTTTATGGCACAATTGCTAGTGGGGCCGAGTAAACAACTGAAACAAATAATTCAAATTGATCATAACATTGTTAAGAATCCCAACTGGCCGGAGGCAAACCAGTTAGCTATATACAAACGTGGCCGAGGATTTGAACTCGGGGCTACCGAGAAACAAATCCAGGTAGTGGTCAGAACGGGACTCGAACCCGGGACCGCTGGATTGTGAGTCCGACGCGCTGACCACTGGGCCACGCTACCTCCTTCATGTCTTCAAGTTTCCTTTGGTGCTGTCCATCACAGGGCAACCTGAGCCCCCCCTGGATATGAGCCTGATCCATTCTAGTACATGGCCCAGCCATCGGATTCGTGGATTTCAATTAGTCATTTTACCGTACCGAAATTTGGAATTAGCCAATTAGAAGCCTTAATTTCTGTTGTGACTTCCTGCGGTGTGTATCAAGTCACTAACGCGATACTGCTCGCCGGAAGATGTCAAGTAAAGTTGAGTGTTTCTTGTGGCAGGTTATCGTGCAACTTGAGCAGCTTTTGGCCAAACACGGGAAAGGACAGTACAATGGAGGTGAGTTAAGAAATCTTCAAAATGATAAAAATTAACCACAGCTTAACCAAATTCGGATAGGACCAAGTTGGAATACTGGAAGGACAACAGACGTTTTGGTATTAAGCGCGTCAACCTCACAGAAAGTGTACGGGCTTTCAGCACGCGCAATGCGATATAAATCACGCTTCTTTTTGAACTGGGTAGAAACGGAACAAGAGACCCACTTGTGTAGGGCTTGTATCAAGTCTAGGCGAGGTTACCACTCCATGCGAGGCGCGGTAACCGAGATTGTTCAACTAATGTACGAAGCGTGTTCGCTTGCACTGTTTTCGGTTACACTGAGGTCGTTCTAGGTTATAGTGGTTCGTCCTTGGCTCAATCTTGCCGGCCCTTACACCTGGGTTGGAGGGTTACTTCTCCACTTGAGAAGGATGGCAGTCGATCGCAGGTTTCTTTTGGCAGGATTGGTCAGCCGGTTACTTCAACAGTTTGTTGAGACCAATTTATACTGCTTTCTTGGCCAAGAACACAAATCAAGGATCCTGAGCAAGCTTTATGTCTGACTTCTGAATGCGGAAAGCACTTACCAAATACGGCATCCTCACATCTTTAAAACTATTCCTTTGCTTTAAAGCGGTGGCCTATCTTGTTTCACATTTAGTTCATTTATCCTTAACTCTTGGACAAGTGCATACGAAACTAACGTCGATTTGTTAAGGACATGCTGTGATCATTGCACACTCTAAGAAATCTCCTTTGTTTTCTTTTGTTAGTCTCTGTAGAGGGTAGTGAAACATACAGGACTCTTAGTGAAGAGAACATGAAGCTGCAAGCAGAAATAATGCAATTAAAGGTAATCGATGATAATAATGGTCTTACATCTGATTACAATTCTTTGGGGGTTTAGGTATGCATTCAGAATTTCCAACCAACTCACTAACACAGACAAAATGCAGATATATGTTTTAAAATCTTCCTTCAAAGGTGAAGACATAGATGAAGAACTCTTATTTGAAGCCCGTAATTCAGCTTGAAGTGCGAAAATTGTAACTTCTAACAACAATTGTTTTGAAGCTCAACTTATTAGGCTGCTGTAGCTGATTTCCTTTATACGTCACTTAATTTTTAAAAATTTATCACATTTCGTTCCCAACTAGATTTGTTGAAGACAGCTCTACTACCTTGATAGTGAAGTGTTCATTGTCCGGAGGCTGTTCCTTATTAAGAAATTCGTTCATGTTTATTACCTCATCAGGAACAGCTGAGAAAGTCTGAAGCAAAGCAGAAGAAACCAAGGTACACGCCGTCCCTGAGTCTTGCACTGAAAATTTCTTGTGGTTTTCTTATGTGAATAAATGAATCAAGTATACGTTTTGGATAATGAAAGAAATTTTCCACAACAAATCGGTTACTTTTCTTGACCTTACTTGTTCTTTAAGACTGAGTGGCTAACAGTTCAATGTCTGATTTTGGTTATCTTGCAGATCCCCTGGTCAACATGTAACGAGTGTAAGTAAAAGTTCGTCAGTGTCAGCTCCGTTTACAACAAATGCCACTAGTAAAATTAACATAGGTTCATTTGCAACAAACATCGGTTGAATAGTTTGTTAAGTAAACGCGTGTTTTTGGAGTAAACACTAGATAAATAATTTGTTTAGTATGATTTGTGTTAATTTCGGTGAGTGTAGCCTTGAGAGACTCTTTTGGGCGCAAATCATTTACTAAGTGAAGTAAGTGACTATGGTCCGTCATGGCTTGTTTACAGATCCGGGGAAAGTATAGGAAACGAGATTGTGTCTGGAAAAGACTGGAATTTTATCGAGGCAAAAGCGAGACTTTGTTGCCTGTATCACTGGCCAAAATTATTCTTCATTCAAGGGGTATGGTCATACTTGTTGCACGATCTAAAGAAAGAAGACAAAAGAGATGCAGATGGTTTAAGAAAATCTGTTTAAGAAGCATTCTGAGGACTGGGGGAATTGTTCATGACGTCGTTATTTGTAGTTCGTATAGCGTGATCGTCCAAGTGAGGGTAGTTCAGAAAAGAACTGTTGTTGGTGACTGACGTTTCGTCAAACAGAGAGGTACCATCTTATTTGACGGCGAATATCTCAATGCAGATTAGAGAACTTTGCTGTGTCCGCCATGTTAGTGTGCAGTCTCCGTAGGCCATCATAGCGGACGCTTAAGTTCTCAAATTTACGAAATATTTACTTACCAATAACTTGGTCATCAGCAACTCTTAGTCCCCCAACTTTTGCCTAGTCGGTTTATCTAGCCTATCCTACAATCCTTACTTCCTGTTGAAATAAACTTTGCTTTGCAAGTGAGTGGGTCACTGCACATCGCCTATTTTGGTATGAAATCGCACCTCTAAAACTTGTCCATCTATCTCAACAGAATGGACCAATTTCTGATGCGGAACGCCTAGAGCTTTTTGAAAAACTGGAAAAAGCAGACGGCCGAATTCTTGCACTTGAAAAACAGGTACAGTAAAGAGTGTAGTTATTGTCAAACAGATGCAGCATATTGCTATGGAGTGGTTTCAACTAGTTGTAGAATTTTAGAACTTCACTCATAGTGTAAATCTGTACTCGCATCCATGCGACAACCCATACTTATTTTCTCTCTCAGATCGTACACATGTTGTGATTGGTCAAATTTGTGCTCTGTATTTTAGCGCTCCCCACTAGTCTCCTTCGCAACGCCTAAGGTGATCTAGGTCGCCACTCAACGCCTCTCATCGCGTTACGACAAAAACAATAATTGCGTCACGTAACGCTTCTCGCCACGTTACGACGTAAATAAAATATAAATTGAGTCACGCGACACTTCTCACCGCGTTACGACGCAAATAACGCAAATAACGGCTGCGAAGGAGACCAGCTTCCCACTCGCTTGACTTGAAATGTTTCCCCTTCTCTAGAGTGACATGTCACTAGCTTATGATATGGATCCTCGATTTAAACCCTAGGCTCGATTTCCGCCGCCGGCTCTCTCCTGTCAGGTCTTCGTTTCTCAATCGAGCCTATTTTAACTCGTCCCGTCGAATTTGAAAGAACTCTGTCTTTATGTTACATTATCGACCTCGGGCTCGCTTTAGAGGTAAAACGCCTTGAGAATAATTCTTTGTTTAGTTGGCAGATAACGTGAGAAAATGGGCGAAAGATAAAGCCGAATTACAGGTAATTTTTGTCCTGTTTTTCTTTACAGAAAATTAACAAATTGACATCAGTTTTTTCATGCGTCTGTCCAGTTACTATCAAGAATTTCGTCATAACATTGTCAAAATAGTTTGCGGATCCACGAGGCGACAGCCGAGTGGATCCACAGACTTCTTTCACAATGTTATGACGAAATTCATTGTCTTTAAAGAATTTCTGCAGAACGTTTCCTTGCTGCCCAATTTTTTGGCCTTNTTACTTCCTGTTGAAATAAACTTTGCTTTGCAAGTGAGTGGGTCACTGCACATCGCCTATTTTGGTATGGAATCGCACCTCTAAAACTTGTCCATCTATCTCAACAGAATGGACCGATGTCTGATGTGGAACGCCTAGAGCTTTTTGAAAAACTGGAGAAAGCAGAAGGCCGAATTCTTGCACTTGAAAAACAGGTACAATAAAGAGTGTAGTTATTGTTAAACAGATGCAGCATATTGCTATGGAGTGGTTTCAACTAGTTGTAGAATTTTAAAACTTCACTCGTAGTGTAAATCTGTACTCGCATCCATGCGACAACCCATACTTATTTTCTCTCTCAGATTGTACACGTGTTGTGATTGGTCAAATTTGTGCGCTGCATTTTAGTGCTCCCCACCAGTCTCCTTCACAACGCCTAAGGTGATTTAGGTCGTCACTCAACGCTTCTCATCGCGTTACGACAAAAACAACAGTTACGTCACGCAACGCTTCTCGCTGCATTACGACGCAAATGAAATATAGATTGAGTCACGCGACAGTTCTCACCGCGTTACGACGCAAATGACGCAAATAACGGCTGCGAAGGAGACCAGCTTCCCACTCGCTTGACTTGAAATGTTTCCTCTTCTCTAGAGAGAGAATGTAACATTAGAACATGTCACTAGCTTATGATATGGATCCTCGATTTAAACTCTAGGCTCGAATTCCGCCGCTCTCTCCTGTCAGGTCTTCGTTCCTCAGTCGAGCCTGTTATAACTCGTCCCGTCGAATTTGAAAGAACTCTGTCTTTATGTTACATTATCGACTTCGGAGTCGCTTCAGAGGTAAAACGTCTTGAGAATAATTCTTTGTTTAGTTGGCAGATAACGTGAGACAATGGGCGAAAGATAAAGCCGAGTTACAGGTAATTTTTGTCCTGTTTTTCTTTACAGAAAATTAACAAATTGACGTCAGTTTTACATGCGTCTGTCCTGTTACGATCATGAATTTCGTCATAACATTGTCAAAATAGTTTGCGGATCCACAGACTTCTTTCACAATGTTATGACGAAATTCATTGTCTTTAAAGAATTTCTGCAGTTATTGTAAAAAGAACGTTTCCTTGCTGCCCGATTTGTTGGCCTTCTTGGTCACTTCATTCGCTTATTTTCTGTTGATGGTGTAAAAGAAACCGAAACTCTGAATAGAGTTCATTCTTTAAGATCGAATTTAAAAGGAATACACAGCAGATAAGATGATTGTGTTTTCTGTTTCAGATGAAATTAAATGAAAGTGTTGTGGCTCAGAAAACGGGATACAAGAGTTCGTCCACCTCTATAGACATTCTGGACTGGGTTTGTATTGAAT